CCTCTTTTTCAGGCTTAATAGTTAACTTTTTGCTTAAACGCTAAACTGTCGGAAAATGTTTCAGTTTAAATTTTCATGTTGTTATCGTCTTTTTATTATATGAGCGTTTTCTTTCTATTTGTTAGTTTTAAAAAACCTGCTGCTATCTTAAATCAGTTATGTTGTTATATTTTCACTATTGCTTTTATTTGTATCTTTATTTTTTGTCATTGTTCTTTTATTGATTTTGCCTCATAATAAGCGCAAGTGGTATTAGATAAATAAATAAATAATAATTAAATTAAATTAGTTGATAATTAAATAAAATTTATAAATATAAAAAAATTGGAGTTGAGTGAAATAAAGGACTACTAAAAAAGGTCATACTTGAACTATCCCCTTTCGCAATTGACACAAAACTTTTTATTAGTTCATAACATGTTGCGGTTAATAGAGTCCCACACATAAAAATTAATAATTTATTTTTTACTTTCTGAGCTTAAGCTAAGAATCATCTTTTGAGTACGAAAAAAGTGGTCTCCTGTTTCCGTCCGTCTGTCTATATCCATTTTTATTAGACACGTACTTAGTCTCCGAAATTATCAGACCATTGTTGTCAAATTTTGCATGTACAGAGTCATCAAAATTGATTGAGAGAGTTGGTAAACCTGAACTTGAATAATTTGGTTTATTAAGTTGTATAAAAATATTAGCTGTCAGATTTGAAGTTTCGAGTTTTTGTCACGCCACTGAATTCATTGCCATATAACCTTAAACAAATCTGTCATAAGGTTGACAAACTTCACGACAAAAACAGGAGGTACCAACTCTCTCAATCAATTTTGATGACCCTGTATATTAGGAATATTATGCAGATGACTAAACATCAACTAAAATTTGTGGCGTCATTTCCACAATTTATAACAGTAAGTTTTTTTTAATTCTATGATATAAGATACTCCTGCATTTGTGGTGTGTGAATTCGTGTAAAAGTTTCACCCTAGACATCCAGATTTTTGGAAAAAAATTCAAAACTGTATAACAATATTTTGAAATTTAACTTTGAAATTGCAGAACCAAACGCTCTGAAATCTTGTAAATATTTTAAGGTTATCGTAAATCATTAAGCAAAATTTATTCGTTTATCCCCTTCGAAAAAATTGATGACGTCATCGCAAAATTTTGCCGAATCCTCTACGAAATATGCAAAATGTTATGACTATATTGTATACATATTACTGCTTATAAAGGGTGGCAAAAATTAATGAAAGAGTCAATTTATTTTATTGATTAAATTAGGAAATGCACAATCGAATGCTTTGGAACTTATCGTAAGAATGATAATTTTTTTATTAAAATGTATCCATTTATCCCCCTTAAAAATTGATAACGTCATCTCAAAATTTTGGCGAATAAATCCTATCCAAAATATGCAAAATATGATGAGTCTGGACTTGTGATTTATCATTGCATTAAAAGTTTTTAAATTTCTTATACAGAGTAACTCAAAAAAATTAATGAACGACACAATTTAGTTTATTGATTAAATCGGGAGCGGCTCACTCCATTTTCCCGAAAATTTGGGAAAACAATACTGTTATCATTAGTATTACACTGTACCTATGCAAACTGCTACATGTGTCTTTGCAAAAATGTTGATAACATCATCACAAAATGTTGTTAAGCAAAAATTCATTTGAAATGTACGCGCAGCACGATTCTTTACATTCACTTTAACGTTACGTAAAGTACGGCAAAAGATAAATGTGTAACCAGCCTAACTAGGCTGGGGCGTGAGTTATATAAAAAAATAATATTTTGAAAAATTAAATTATCTTTAATCGGGTAGCGTGTTTTTATCTCGTCTTCTACCTGAGAAGTGTTAATCACACATCACAGAAAAATGGGAATTCTCTTACCTTTCGAAACTTCCCTTTTCGCTGCTCGAGGGCACGGAGTCACTCACTAGTACCGCTGTTTCGATGCACTATTATTTTAACGGAAGGGTTGGCCGCAAAGTCCGAAAAAAGAAAGTCCAACGTAGTTGAAAATCGGTCACCCTTATTTATTTACACACACTAATGAATTAATCAAAAATTTACACAAGAAAACCAAAATGAACAAGTGGATCACCGCTCGCGGTGACTTCCACAAATTTAGAAAGTAAAGCAAATAAAAATTGAACACTGGACAAAAATGAACACTAAGACACTTTGAAGCAAAATTTAAAACAAAGAACGCGACGAGAAGGAACGAGGTGCACACTACAAAATCCCGACCAGAGAACTGACAAAAATTGACCAAACTACTCTTTTATAATTTCGCCAAGAGTGGAGACTCCACCCGACGTCAAAGGGGCTAACAAAGAAAAACCAATGGGATGGACCCCCCTGTGTTGGAAAGAAATGCTTTCTCGTTCTCTCTCGTCTACACCAGCAAACCGCTCAAATCGCCGTCGATTCACATATTCTTATCAAAAGTCCCTGACAATATCAATTACATTATACCATGAATCTATCGAACAGCTTTTTGGAGTGGTCACTGGTTCGCGACTTAACTAGGATAGCCAGACATAGATCTCGAACCCATCAAACGTTCTTTTACTTATGACTCGACTGTTTCTCACAGGTGGAACTGCAAACTTTATTCCACCTGTGGTGGGCCAGATCTATGTCCGTCATCCATCCGAATTTCCAACCTTTTGTTTTCTCAAAACATCTGTACATAATTATTTACAAAATGAGGAATCGCATCACGCCATTTCGATAACGGGATCTCTCAAACAAAGCCCTTCTCTGCCTCTGTCCCCATCCATCATGGTCGCTATAAAACTGTGCCGTTTCTTGAAATTCGACAAAAGGGCTAGGCACGCTTGAAACTCAATTTACTTTTTTAACGACTCCCTCGGAAAAGATCGGACATGTGGTACTATAAAGTTAACCCGAGGGTCCAGTGCCACATGCAGAGAGGACGGGATATAGCTAGATGGGACAAAGGAAGTATATGGATCTATTTGTTGGGATTTTCTGGGAAGGTTCGGAAGAAGTGATTTTTAAGGGGTCGTTAACAAGAATTTCGACCCATGATGAACAGCCGAGACAAATCAGCTCGCGACAATGACCTTTCTGGGGTTGCACGTGCACTCGTACAAATGCACTTGTTACAAATGCAAACGCCGTCAATTATTTTATGAGGGGTATTTAGTACTTTAGACCGCAACCTGCAATAAAACCATTACGCATTAGGAATGCATTTACTAGAGAACAAATACGGTCCTGGAAAGGTACAAGGGTAGCGACTACTTTTGATTGACAGCTTTACACAGGATACAGCTTCGAAAGCGACTGGAAATTTTACAGCGGCAGTACTCATAATTGGAGTCATTTGTATTTATCGTTCGCCGTACTTTACATATCTTCATTTTAACTTATAAGGGTTTTCATAAAAAAATAAAATTCGCAAAAATAAATTTTATAGTTTTTCGAAAAACCTGGATTTGTTTTATTGTGTTTTAAATTTTAAAAGTAAAGCAAATTCGAAATTTCAGATCAACAGTAAATTTTGGCTGAGTAATCTTGTGTTCTTATCTTGTAATATAACTCTTTGAGTAAAGCGATACTGCTGTGAATAGTTTTGTTGATAACTTTTTTAATCAATTAGCCGATACAACTGATATGACTTTTTTTAAAGGCCCCCTTATTTGAAATTAGTGCCCAGGCTGGGCCCCTCCAAAATAAAAGGCTGGTTACGTGCCTGCCTCAGTAGACTAAAACAAAAACAGGATTAAATTTAAGTCAGAGGTAAATAAGCTTATTTCAAAAGATATCTTTCTAATAGATTTTGTATGGTGACGTCATATTCAATTTCGATCCGCACATTGTAACACCAATAAATGTAGTTATACAAGTACTGTGTTTCCAGAATTTTTGACGTAATCAATAAAATAATTGACAAGCTGAAATGTTATACTAACAGACATCTCTACTAACACAAAACAAACTAAAACAAAATTTTCACATACCTATCTGTAGTTATCGATGGAAATAAAATTACTGCCAAATTCTGACAAAATCTTAAATCTGCCTTTGCTTGTTTTCAGTGTAGATGTATTATCAAAAGTTTAGTTAAAAACTTGAAATGTTCACATTGAAACGGATCAGTAATTGTCAAAATTCACAAAACTGTTCTGTTAGGAATGTCATACTGAACAGTCTAATCATGTTAATCAGGACAGGTTAGCACAACTACATCAGAATCTTGTGAGTTACTTTATTTTTCAGGTATCGCGCGGATAAATGATTGGTAGTCACGCGAAGTTTATGAAGATGGGGCGAGATTATAGAAGAGCAGATGAACCTGTATGCTGCAATTCTAAGATATCGAAAACCCTTTCATTTTGTCAACAATTTTTTCAATACATACCATTGCGTGAATGTTGGTCATTTCCGGACCAGTGGTGGGTCTATAATAATAATAAACATAGTGAACGGACCTCTAGCCCATTATTTGTATCCTTACTTCGTTCGTGCTTTAATTCAATCGATAAGTTAGTGTATTTTGTCTCCCGATGATAGCAAAGACAGTGCTATCAGGGTTATCTTGACTATCGTCTAATGTCATATTTTCCTAATGTTTCCCTTGTCCATTCATCTGTCTACGATCTGTGGCTGATCTGTTAGAAAAATTTTGAACGTAAAATTTTCGAAACCACCCATATTATTACCCTTAAATTTTAAGTACAATTTGCAAAAAATTAAAAATTGATAATGTCTCAGTAAATCTCTTTTCTTTTGGTATTTACGGTTTATATGCAAACCATCCAACTTATTTATGGATAACAAAACTAAATTTTATTTTTCTTCTGTTTCAGAAAACTGAACAGAATAATTAGTTAGTTAATAAATAATTCTATAATACAAACTTTGAAAGGCTGCTGTTACTCCAGCTTTTGTAAGCGTGTATTCACCGAAATCTTAGTAAAAATTTAAACAGCACAAAATAAACAGAATTTTTGATTCCAGGAGACCATCTCCGGGACAAATATGACGGAGCGACGGAGGTCCGCATTAATCGACGCGGTCGACTTCAGCTGCGAGATACTCGCTTCCGTGTACCTACTGCCTACGACCTCGTCTACATGGAGGACTCTCCCAACTACTGCGTACGAGATGATCGATTAGGCTCCTTGGGAACGCAGGGCCGAATCTGCAACCGAACCTCGCAAGACTTGGATGGATGCAACCTTCTCTGTTGTGGTCGAGGCTACAATACCCTCAAGTCCGTAATAAAAGAACGATGTGACTGCAAGTTCAAGTGGTGTTGTGAGGTTGAATGTAAGACGTGTGTCCGATCAGTGGACGTGCACACGTGTAAGTGATTTGTGTAAATAAAATTCACCCGTGAGTGTTGTTCGTGGTGTTTGTCAGTACTTAAGTAGTAGCAGCGAACTGTGACCAGTGAAATTTTTCAAAAAAATACTGTTTATTCCGAAGTTTTGTTGTAGATTGTAATAATTTATTAATTTATTTGTTGACTATTATTTTAAATTGGCCGTTCATTTTTGTTATAATTACTTTTAGTGTATATGTATATTTTGTACTTACGTAGATTTCGTCCGCTTCGCAAACAAAAGTATTATGGGAAAATGACTGAATTTTTTATAACTTTGTGCGTTCTTATTATTAAAAACGATATATTTTACCGGTTCTAACAAAAAAAAAAATAAATAAATACTTGAAGGCAAACTATTGCTACTTTGGTATATAGACTAATAATAATAATAATAATAGGTCGTTCAGAGAAAAATTCCTTGTGCTGATAGCATAGACTGATGTAAAGTTGTAATTGCACTTATTTCAACTGTGTCAGTTAAGGCAAGAGAAGTGAAAACAATATCGGATATAGTACCAAGTACCAATAACAAAATTTACCTCCCTAGTTGCAAAAGTGGAGTTTCTGTATCAGGATGTGAGCGATTTTCAAAAAGATAGTAAAACCTATTCGAAATTTTCACTTCCCTAAAAAAATGAAATTTCAACAGTGTTGCCGCGTGTACCTAGGTGCTGGTGGGCCTTTAAAATGTGAACAAAGGTTATTTTAATCAAAAGCATAGGGAAAAAAATATTATTATATTTAATTTTTTTCTACAACATATTAAGATGCGTTTTGTGGGAATAAATATGAACGATTACTCCTTTTATTGTTACGAAGATTTAGCTCTGGGACATACGATTTTAAAGCCACAATTTAGAGATAACCTGTACATTTACTCATAATGTCTAGACATTAATATAAAAAGTGTGAGTATTAGTGCTAATTATTTTAATAGCACTCATCAGTATAATGAGTTAATAATTGTACGTTTCGAAAATTTTCAAAACTGAATTCAGTAATTATCATAAATTCGACCTAACATGTACCGTTAAAAACTGCTACTAAAGGTTGTATGGTATCTAAATGTGGTACTAATTATTAAAGTGTCAATAGTGACAGACGATCTCTAATACTGTCTACTATAGTTTGTTCATTTATTTGCTCATAAATGGATTTTTTTACCGAAGATGCCGAAGTAAAATTTAATTTATTTTATTTATTTCATAATAAATTATTTCTTTGTTAACTTTCGAAAGTTACAACACTGTGAATCATACCTAAAAAAAATTGTACCTGTATGTAGTATCAAGTGTAACCAACAAAAACGTAGAAATATGTAGTACTCAATTGAATATTTGATACTTTAATCAGCCAGTTCACAAATTTCACACATTCTTTGATTGTGTATAATAATCAATTAAAAAAAAGACGTTAGTTGTAAAATTAACTTGTGTGGCGCAATTCATCGACTTTCCTTTAGGGGAAATGTGTCTGAGACGGCATACTTTTTGTAATCGCCTCATAAAAAATTAAAAAAATTTTTTTAACTTATTTCACCTCGGGCATTTTCTTAGTTAACACAAAACTATGTTTTGAAGCATATTTGAAACGATAACCTTTTTCGCATAAACTAATATTAACACTACGCCATCTCAACCGCACAAGCCATCTCATCTATATACTTAAGGGTGAGATGGCATACCATTAAAATTTTACAACAAAAACATTAACCAAATGTTAAAAAATAGAAAATATTTCTTAAACGTTTATTTATCAAAAAACAAAATAACATTTTCATAAACATATTCAAATGCCGTTAAAAAAACATTAAATACACTTCCAAAAATTAAATAATTAAAGAAAACAACTTTTTGAAAAAGAAACAAAATATTAGTTAACTCTGAAAGTACAATTTTTATTATTTGCAAAGATCACAAATAAACTGTTTTGCTTTTCGAACTAAGCCCGCACATTCTGTGTGGCTCCAGTTTCTGCATTTCTGACATTGAATCCACATTTCGCCATGCCATCTCATCTTTAGATTTACTGTGCCATCTCACATAAAAGTACGTTTAAATCGAAAGTGCACCTTTAAAGAATTATCTTGAATAAAACCGTTGGGTTTGTGGTCATGAATTTATGCGCAATTACAATAAAAATAAGAAATTACTACTAGAACCTTCAACTTATCTCAAAATAAATCTTACGAGAGTTTTTCTGAGACGGATAAAAGTTTTTAACACTTACCTGTTTCAACAGTTTGCTCAAACATCAAAACCATCTCGCCAGTTAACCTCAAATTACGTAGCATTTTCTACTTACGCCACAGTCACGTGATGGCGTTACTCAAAGCGCTAAATTCAAATTCGAACTTAGTAAAAACGATAGTATGCCATCTTATCTAACATGCCGTCTCAGACACATTTCCCCTAGTTTAAAAGTGATTAACACAAGAGTGTCAAAGTAATGTTTACAGGTCCACGTTATTACTATAATGTACTATTACATAAAAAATAGGCTTCAATTGCCATTTTCAGGTTACAATAGTTTAAAACAGCATATTGTATGAACAATGTTTAGTGTATCTCACTTAAAACAGTTAATATTAACTAAAAAAATGAAAATTCACCACGTGAACAACGTTTTTTAATATTCACTTCGCAGTTCCCTGACATTATGAAGATCCGTGGTAGAATATAGTACTGACCAATTGTAATATTTATTTATAAATATTTGATAAGTGTATGAGCCACCGAAAATGTTCTGTTTTTACCTACAAGCGATTTTTCCTTGCATAACTTAGCTACACTATTCTCACATTCCTGCCAAAACTGACTGTAGTAAAACTCTTTTGATACGTAATAATTTGTTAAGCACCATCGAGGCCCTTTGCGGCATAAATACAGTATTCTTTATTTATTTTGTAAATATTTTATTGAGTAACCAGATGTAACTATATTTTTATAATTATTATAAATAGTTATAGAGCGTCCTTTTGTTTTAGAAGACTGTGTAACGTGATTTATTTAGTGGTGACTTAGTAAAGACATGATAAAAGATATTCGTTTTAATTATTTCTTATTACAGATGTCGGAGTGAAAAACCATCTTGCCATGTCCCGGTTTTGGTTTATATTTTTTAAATTGTTGTCCCCAACAATTAGTGAAATCATCAGTTTGGAATTACAGACTGATAACTGAAAAGTAAATAAATATGATCTAAAAAATAGCCGAAACTTATTTAGACAGAACTTCCCTCGCCCCTAAAGCACAATCAAACAAATCTAGCTTAAAGTGGCAAACAACTTCACTGCCAACATCATTATCTTAAAAATAAATAAATAAATAGAAAAATGTGGTATCACTTTGTACACTATAATACTAACAATAACTTACAGTTTTATTTCCAAATTTTTGAGAATACAGAGTGAGTTGTTCTTGATTTTATTAGTAAAAAAGTTTACTTCAATCATTAATTTTTTTGAGTCACCCTCTAAAGCAATTTAAAAAAAATTGAGATGTCGTCAAATTGTGGGTGGGGATGATCAGACAAATTTTTGTTGATGTCGAGCTACACGATATCCTTAAAATATATAAACTTCACAACAATCAGTCCAGTAGTTTCGGAGATTGCCTGTCTAATAAAATCGTCAACAGACGACAGACAGACAGACAGAAACGGGAGACCTCTTTTTTAAATTCTGGAGGTTATGAAACGTCCAGAGAACATGAAAGTAGCTAAATGGATTCTATTACTTATACTCCGAAAGTAAACATACATTCTATATCTTTGAAAATACTTTTAAATTATAGCTCTAGAAGACTGCGTTAAAGAATGTTTTCTACCATCTACAACAAATGTTTAATGTTCCGTTCTTTGAACCTTGGAACACCCCCTTAATACATAAGTATTTTGGCAGAAGTGGTGAAAAATTTTGAATTTTGCATTGTGTCATTAACTGTCGAAAAATAAAATATTTCCAAAACACGTATTTAAATTGAGTTTTCTAATTCTTTTTTTGGAAAATTTTACGCAACATGTAATTTCTTATTTATCCACACAACGCAAAAATTCTGTTTAGGTAATGAATAATATTGTCCTCGTATTTTTATTTTTAATTCAATTATTGTGCGATGAATAAAAACTCTGCAAAAAATGCCTGATACGGTGTACGGCGATAAGTTTTTGTTCAATTTTCGTGTTACGCAAAGGAGTTCTGTCGGTTTCGACTTTGTTGAGGACGTATGCGGTCTGTGAATTAGTTTGTTTAAGCAGTTTATTTTTGTTAAAAATAATTTGGTTTCGGGCTTAAAGTGAAAGGTGAGTGTTGTGATGTTTCCATGAGGAAGGAGTCTGCAAGGGTCAGCGCGGAAGGAAAGGAAATCTGGATTTAAAGGGTAAGTGTAGTTATAATTGTTATAAAAATGAGGATGTTAAGCGAGAATAGTATTTTACAAGTCGTTACTTAACGACTTAATAAATAATTATATTTGTTCAACAAGCACTCAAATGTATCTCGTCAGATATTTATTTTTTAAACCTGGCATTTTTGGGTGAATTAATTTTTAATTTTTACGCTTTACTGCACTTATTATTTATTGCAATATTCATCATTGTTTTGTGAAATGTTTAAATTTCAGATTTTTGTTGGAAACAATTTTGTATTTGGGTCGTACAATTAAAATAAGGTCACTAAATCAGTAAAGAGTTTCAAAGAATCATTTTAATTGAGAACAGAGGTCTTTAACATTTGAGTTTACTGGAAATATTTTTTTCTAAGTGTTTTTTGAAGTTCACTTAAAATTAACTTTAGAATGTTCTTAATTACTAAACGTAGTGTGCATGTTTATTCTGACTAAACTTTCATTTCTTGTTTTCTTGACATTTTCCAGTTTATGGAGTCCGAATTTTTTTCTGTTTCCGTCTATGTATTTGTGAGCGAATTTTTAGACAAATATTCTTCGAAACTGTGAATTTTTTGGTTTATTTTGAGTCTTTGATATAGATGTAAAACTCTAACCAACTTTTTTCTGTTCATCCTCACCAAGAATCACATGATCTCATTGTAAAATTTTACTTAGAATTGATATTGTGACTTCAAAAGCTTTTCTGATAAGTATTTTTTAAATCTTAACTCCTTACATAAACGTAACTGGTAATGTTGATTTGCACCGTCGTTAAAAATTATTGTGTGTAAAGTTGATGTAAACTTCCATGGTATTTTTCTTTACCTATACAAAAATTGCCTGTGTTTTTTTTTGTTGCAGTGGGTTCGTAAATGAAGAAGAGGGAATTCGCTAATTTGTAGCAGAAGAAGAAGCCTAAAGGTTAGAATTTTACATTAATTCTAAATTGGGTGATGTTTTTTATCCTTTATAAAGGTTTTTTTGCTCGGTAATTTTGGCTTATTTTTGTTTTATCAAAAAATTGTTCTTGACGTCTTTTATAAATGTATTTTGTGAGCATTTTATTTTATATTTTATTTTTTATGTACTCTTCCTTATGTGAATATGATTTTTCGTGCATAGAAAAAAGGAAACGTTTTTTAAATATTGTTTTCGTGTTTGATTCTGTTTACAATCTGTTCTAAACACTACATTAAACTATTTGTAAAATAAACTTCGCCGTTTTTTTAAACTTTCGTGACAGATATAAGGTTTTTAAAATTGCGGTATTCGAATTGATCAGTTTCTTTTCATATGTACAACATTAATTAATAACTGAATAAGAATTTCTTTCATACTAAACATTATCGAATTATTGTTATTTTACTTCATCGATTGCTTCTTTGACACAAGTTTTTCTTTTCTGCTAGACTGTGTCAAGAAAAGCTCGTTTTCGAATTAAATTTTCCAGATTTTTTCAATTATTGATTCATCCCTTATTTCTTTCGACATTAACAACTGCTCTGAGGTCCACGTTATAACTCCTTTTTCACTTCGTCTTTATACTCTTACGATAATTCTTTTTTGTTAGTTAATAAGTTAACTGAAGGAATTTTATTATCTATTTTTTCCTCACTCTCTTCATTATTCCTATTATTTATTGGTGCGGGTAGAAACAGCTACTTCCCCGACAAGAACCCCGTCAAGAGTTTATACCGAGTTAATAATTCTTTAACAGTCAAGCAATCAAGTCAAGTATATTTCTTTTACAAGACTTCTTACTAATAGTATAATTTAATAGGTATATGTATAAGTATCAGTATACTTAAATAATGAAAAGGGCCGCCCTTTGGTCCAAGTCGTAATGGAGACATCTATTGCTGAATATCCTAAGGAAAAGCACGAATGCACGATTACAGATATTTTTAATAGTTATCGCCTTTCTCTGCCGCATGAGTGCAGCACTGCTGTTTTGCGTTACGTCAAAAAAGGTTTTTCAAGATTTTTGCTGTGAAATGACAGTGGGTTGTAATTTTGAGTTATGAACGAAGTGTTCAGTTTTTGGACAAACTCGTCGTTTACAGATGTAATTTACCTTTACTGGAATACGATTAACGTTTATTTAATCGACTCCTTAATTACATTACGCGACAGCAAAAACAAAAATCTGTTATCAGTTTTTGACAGTTTACCGGAATCTCTTTATTTTGACGAATTTCAGTATTCTTTATTTAAAGCATTTATACTTATTTTGTGCGTTAACCTAGTGCTAATATTTATAGCGTGGAAAGTATACGGCAAACGTATTTGCGATCGTTTTATGAAACCAGGTGAGTCATGTTAGTTATATTGTAACAATATAAAAGTAAATATACGTTTTGTGAATAGCCACTAGCAAGGCCATCGAAGAACTAAAGGCCAGCGTATCTAAATTAAAATTACCCAAAGAACACACCCCACGCATATAAAATCATGACTGACAAAATAAAGAAATTTTTCGCCAAGAAGAAGGCAGATGCTAAGTTTAAATTAGCAGGACCGGGCCATCGGTTAAATGAGTCGTCGACAACCATAGTAGGACCTAGTAAACAGAAACCAGCCTATACTCCACAAAGATCTGGACCCAGTGATGCTACAAGACAAGCTGCAGACGCCGCACTGGCTCGTTTCAATAGTCAAAGTAAAAATCCTGCTTTTAACACATCTCTGGCGGCAATTCAGGCACAAGTAAGGAGAGAACTGGAAGCAGAAAAGAAGAATATGGCTAATCCTGAACCAGAAACACATTCCACAACAGCACCAGCAGATGTAGAGGCATCACCTTACTTGGCTGTCAAAGGTATATAAGGTCAAATAAAAAACACAGTTTTTGCTTACACCCATTCTGATTAAATTAGATCAGCTATTGATGACACAATCAATTTTTCAAACAAATGGGCATTTATAAATCAGACTTGGTGTAAATTATTGACACATAATAACCTACTTTCAATGTTGAATTGTCTGCAGTGTGATAAACAATTAGTTTCAGTTGATATGAATTTTGCCTGAAATTGGTAGAACTGACATTCAACTTTACTTTCTATTGTTAAAGTTGAAATGGCTTGCATTGGCAATTAATTACTCCATAATATATTTCAAATCAATATTTGTTGCTGAATAATTTTTATATAATTTTTTTAACCCAGGACAATAAAAAATTTCAGAATAAGTTCATTCTGTTGTCAGCTCAAACACTATTTATTGATAGAAAGTATAAAACGCATCTGATTTGAATATAAGTTTAATCTTAATAACATATTAGATGTTCCATGAATTATTTATTATTTTCCTTCTTTCATTTTTCAGTCAGTCAAAAAGTGTATGTTATATATTCAATATGTGTTGCATTTATGTGCGAAAAAAGTAAAATGTATTTGAAAAAAGCTTAAAGATGCGTTGTTTTAAAAATAAAATAAAAAAAAATAACACCATAGAATACGTTTCAACTAAGATTATGTGCAAGTCAACTACTTCCTGATAGAAAATGTGTTATTTTTATTTATCCTAGAAAATTTTAAATTCAAATTCATACAAATATGTGGGATGCTATATTTAAACAAATTATCTTTTCAATGAAACTGGTCGTAACAGTAAAGGTGCAGCAAATGTACAAAAGTGATCAGGTTCATGGGAAACCCAGTTATTGTGTATGAATGTCCCAGCCAAAAAACCCATAGAGTTATCATTCTCTGCACCGTATGTATGGTTTTTGGATAATATTTTTGAATTTATTTTACATTTTTAAATTAACTTATGGCTTAAAATTGAACTGTAAGTTCAGTTTCTTTATTTAATGTTCTTAGCAATTTTCTTTCTGAAAAATGAAGAACACTTAAAATGTTGATACATTTTTACTTCCTAGACGATATTCATTTACTGTCAAAATTAAAACTATGTACCTAACAGTATCAAAGGATGCAAAAACTTAATAGGTACAGTTTCCAATAATTTGTAAAAAAAATGGCGAAAATTGTCATTGCCTACAGATAGGATTTAGGTGCATTTAGACTGTACCTTCCGATTATAAATACTTACCAACATTACTAATTGTTATTGACTTACCTTTTGTAAAGTACTACTTATATGTTCATTTTTGCTAGGCGTGTATTTCCGCTGTCCCTTAATAAGCGAAGAGGTACTAAACAAGGAAGAATGGAAAATAAAAATCAAAGAGTTCTTATTTGACCAGTTAGAAGAAGAGCGAGGTCTAACAGCTTGCCTTATTATCCAGTCTTGCAATTATAATAGAACAAAAGTAATTAATTTGTATCCACTAGATTTATCATTAATACTTCTACTTTTAGGTAAAAGATTGCGTGGACGTCTTGTGCCGCTATCTAGATAACATTATCGCTAATCCTACAGAAACTAAATTTCATAAAATCCGTTGTTCAAATCCAACATTCCGGGACAAAGTTCTACCTACATTGGGAGCTACCGATTTATTACTGGCAGCGGGCTTTCAGCAGCAAGTCTTAGACCATAATGGGACTGAGGAGGAGTTTTGGGTATTTAATGACCAAAACATTGAAAACCCGCAAGTTTTGGAGGTAAATAATAAAAACGTTTAAATGTAAATGTCTGTGTAGCTTCTTAGGGAGGCATTAAAATCAGAAGATCGAGTTGAACTGGAGTTAGATCGGAACATACAAGTGCTTTCACCTGCTCAAGCTGCCCGAAGATTGGATTTACCTCAAGATTTCTATACTTTGAGTCCAGAAGAATTGAAGAAGGAGCAACAACTAAGGTATAAAACTGTTTTTTTTTTTTTTTAAACTATAGATGTATACTTTGTGTAGAACTGAAGCAATGGAGAAACAAATGCAGTTAAGAACCAAAGCAATGAGGGAAAAAGATGAAATGAGAGAACTTAGAAAATATAAATTTGCAATCATCAGAATTCGATTTCCAGATGGTCTATACTTGCAAGGAACATTCTCAGTCTATGAGAAATTTTCTGAGATTTTAGATTTTGTGCAAGACAACTTAGAACATGCCGGTTTGCCCTTCATATTGTTGGCACCAACTGGGCATAAGTTTGAAGAGTCTGACAGTGAAAGTTCTTTAGCACAGCTCAAGTTAGTCCCAGCAGCAATTCTGAACTTTCAATGGGACTCTTCAATAGCAGATGAGTTTGCTAGATCTGGTAACACAAGTTATCTCAAACCGGAGGTAATGTTGTTAATACAACAACTGTAATCATATTTTAATGTCACTTCACCAAAATTATATTTTACAATCAGTTTATCACTATGCTTGTTTATCATATGCATAGTTTAAATTAATGCTGTTGATATTTATAGAATATTTATAATTATGTTCATATAAATAAATGTATATTTTACATTAAATTATTTACTAGCAACAAATCAATGGCTTTCACAATTTTTTTTATTACATAATGTACCAACTGTTTACACGCCGAGGAAGAAGTAATGATTTAATTGAAAATTTTTCACTTTATTATAATGATGTAAAGCAGGATAAAGAGATATACAAAAAGTTACATGTATTTGTTTTATTTATTAAATGTTTTATATACAGCACCTTTCGTAAAAAAATACAAAATTAACAAACATAGAATCATCGTTTAAGATCTTTCACGATCAGGAAAACAAAGTTTTAGTTTATATTTTTATGTAGATATTTGGAAAGTCTTGTGTCAGTGTTTCTCAGACGATACTGGTCTATGGGGAAAAAACACAGTGCATATAGTACACTCGTACAAAGTGTGAGTTAAAGTTCAATGTACCATGATAATTAATACTATATTAAAGTTGAGGAACACTGCGTTATATTACCCCATATACAAAATTTCAGTATTGGTATTAAAACTACAAACACAAATTACATATACATTTAAAAAAATTCGAAACACTTCTGATTATATCTAAACCACATCAATTTGAAGAAAATCTTTTGCAATTCCGGAAAATGGGTCCTCAAAGTCCAGAATCACTTATTGTTCGATGTTCATTAAACGCATCTCGAAATCATTAAATTAAGGAGCACCTATTCGGAGCACGGCTGAAACATTTTTCTTACACAGGATGGCACCCATTACTGCGACTCCAAGATCTCAATTCTAATTTGCTAATGTTCTTTGTAACTGTCTTATTACGCATGCGCTAATCATAGTCAGTCGATCAGCCGTGGTACGATTAGGCGCTTGCGATTATTGCAGACACTTCCTGGAACACCTGTACTTTGGTCAACCATACTTATTTTATTATTTTCATTACTATTACTGGTACATGAGAAATATTAATTGGGTTACTGGCAGAAGTTACAATGTATGTTTGTTGACAATGGGGGAAATGCGATCGTCTTATAATTTACTTAGAAAACAAAATTATAAGATCCTTTTCTGTTATATTTTAAAGCAAAATTTGATACATAAAATATTAACATGTTTTATTTTTGTGATTAGTAGATGGCACTCTTGTTTTTGCAGTTACACTCTTTTTTTGTTCATGTTTCCGCAACTGTTTTTACCTTAAAGTTCAACACTTGTAGTCGAAAACAAAGAAACACTGTCATCATAAACACGATTTTTTTTTAAATAGCAGTTCCAGATATGAAAGAATAAATCCCGCGCAACACCAAGAAAATCCAAACACGTTAACACATGTTAGCATTTTGTCAAATAAAACTTCTTTGAAAAGGGACACATGTCACTGTTTTACCTGAGAAAACCTTCTGCCGTATTTTTAACTTTAACAACATACGGCTTATTCCAAAAAAATATAAAAGATATTTAACCCAACTTTGTAAATATGTTGACTTATTACTAGCAACTTAAACTTAAATTGCATCAATCGTCCTCTTCAAAAAATTGATGAAATTGTCTCAAAAAATATAGTAAATGTTTATTTACTTTACTTATTTAAAAAATACGCTCAAGACAGTGTACGTCCAAAAGCGCACAAGCTAATGCAACTACTTGTACAAGATAGGTAACTTAAAAAATGTGTTGATGAATTTCATTCAATATTTCATAGAAGCTTATCAATTTAGCGTTATCTTTATCATCATAAAAAATATTCAACACCTTTGAAAAATATAGCTTCAGATTCCATCTACTTACACTATTTCAGTTTTTTATTTATATTATATTTATTTAATAACGTCATATCAGAGAACTGTAAATATGCATGAGAAATGTATCCTGACATGCACGCGTTTATTCTCTGAATATTTAGTTGCGAAAGAAGTTAGGTGAAAATTATTATTTTATAACCATTTTAACACACTCAGTGTCTTTTTCCTTTGTTTTCGAGCTACAAGAATCTTCTACGTGGAATCTTTAAGTATGGCATAAGTTGTAAAACTTTTAGTTCACTGCCTAGTGAATCAGCTCTAGTTTTTAAATAAACTTTTGTATTTAATTATAATGCAATTTCAAGGTTATTCACAGTTTCTAGGCTATATAATACACAATATTTTTTTATACTGCCATAACAGAAAATTACATTGTCGATCGAATGTACAAAATGTAATAAAATGCGTATAATACGGCAAAATTAACAATACAAATTTAAAAATAACGAAAGCAATTAATAACTGAAAAAGTGAATTCTCAGTGTTTATGGCTTAAAATTACTCTCTCTGCCCGAAAATATGGTATACATTTTACAAAATTATTATAATTAACGAGTGATGATCAGCAAATTATAATCGAGTAATTTTATTTGCAACTTATATAATAATGGAACATCATATAAATAGTGGACTGAGATCTATGTTCGTGTCTGTTAAAAAACAAAATAAATCGACACCTGGTGAATTTAAAAAATAAGAGATTTTAGAAAGAATAATAAAATAAAATTATTTATTTATTTAGTTTTAAGTATAAAATTTCTCATCTTAATAAATCCAAACGTCGTGAGGGGAAGTTACCAACGAGATTGGTAAATTCTCCAGAAGCTCTAAATAAAGTCCCATTGCATATAAATTGAAATGTATTGTCGTTATCATAGTATTATTAAATAGAGTTAGTATACCATAATTTCGGACAAAAATAAATTTAAAATGTATACTATATTTTCGGACGGAGGGAGTACTTTTTTTTCTACTTTTTACTTGAATGATTAGGGTACCTAGGTTTGTTTATGAGTATATATTTACTCTGTATTGATAAAGTGCAGCAACAACCTAGCAATAAGACGAAAATTATGTAATGCTGAGAAGCATAATTTAAGCACAAATAATAAGTATTAGTGAATCATAAATATTTTACATTTTAAGCAATGTGACCTTGATAACGATAATTTTTAACTGCTCTATTATGTATCTAATAGATATAAATAGTATGTCTATTATGCAAATTATACCTTCACTCTACCAACTTAAAAATAAAATAATTTTGTAAACCTTACAACGATCAAGGGCATCAGTACGTACTCTACCACCTTATACACAACTTGACCTTTTAGCATTTTTAAGGTAGCACATGTTTAAAATTAATATTTTTGTTGGTTCGGCGACTAGTTTGTACCACAACAAATACATTAGGTATTGAAATATGTAAACATTTTGTTTCTAATACCGTAGCAGGACCCAATTTTTTCTTTTTTGGTTTTATACTCACAGGCTCCTATCACGCATAGGTTTTGTAAACTTCAAACTTTTATATGGAATGTTTCCCAACTTCTAAACTATTTCGGTACAGATTTAAGAAGGCGAGTATGCGAAAGTTAAATTAAAAAAATGTTTATACTTAGGTAGAAGCAGACGCTATTGGATATTAAGTTTATAAAGAATTAAATGTCTGATACATTTAAGAAACAACAAATACCTCATTTAACTTTGTTCCGCTGACGCTTCATTAATTTCAATGGTTATAATTATTGCACACAAACTTTACATGGAGTTAAAAGAAATCATTCCTACATTTAAGACAAACTATTTAAAAATTTTCAATGTCAGATCAAAGTAAATCCAAATAATTCGCGTATGTTTTTTTTTGTCTACTGGAAAATTATAAAAACAGTATTCAATAATCATTCAACGATAAAATTTAGTAGTTAGCTTAATACTTTGAAATAACATCGTCATTACTAAAGGTCAAATCGTTTTATATTAACTTTACTTTTTTTTTAATATCTGCAATGTTAAGTTTTACAATATTTAATTAACAAAATAATCACATTCTTACTAATCACAAGATCCTTTACTATTGTAGAGGTCTTCAGTTGAAAAAACATCGCATTTACCCTTTGTCAACTTATAACTTTTGGTATAATCTAGCAAATATTGATCTTTTAGTTTAGTTAACTTACCAAATTAGAAATACCTGTGTAACTTGATCACGAATACTCACGTGTTGCAAAATCCATTAAATTTTTTTGAATAAATGGAAGGTACTCACAATTTTTTGTTTTTAATGTTTGATCGTGAAAAAGAACTTTCGATTCACATTTGTACGTCTTCTCACAACTTAAAGTTTGTACTTTTAACAAAAAAACACTAAATTTGAAACACTACCAGAGATCCAATTTTTGTCCAATCACAACCATATTTTTCACAAGTGTCTCGTAAAAAAATAAAGAAAGAAACCATTGCACACGATTAATTTTAAATTCACAAAACCTCTTAGACTGGACCTAATTAGTGTATCATCGTCACCGACACTGACACGAGGACTCTGAAGAATAACACAAGTGTCTGAAAGAACTTATCTATTTTCACACCACTGTTAAACATTTGGAACTGACAACTGCATGTACCTGAAGAAAACAGTATAGAAGACCATAGTTTTAGTTGACAAATCACTGAAAGAGTTTCTTACACTACATCACAATTATCAACTTTTTATTATTAAACAATTTTTATAAACAGTTACTACTTGCACAGAACACTACAACACTGTAGTTAATTTTCCTTCGTTAATGTCATAACTACAGTCCTTTCACATAACAGATAAATCCTAACAGAATTTTAGCACTAGGATAAAGGCATGCATTTATGAGAAAGAACTGCAAACACTTAAACTAAATTTTTTCACTTTGTCACCAAATCATAGTTGTTACAAATTGTTTTAGCGCATTCTTCACAAACAAATCAGTAAGCACTTAAATGATACAGTCAAAGCAACACATATCAACGCAACTAGTTAACATCGTTGATCACCAATTTCCTGAAAAGTATAACAAATTGATTATTGTTAAAACAACGTTACGCTACTTTGTGTACCTGGAGAAAGAGTATGAATTTGATTGTACTTCATAAAATATGAAATGAGAAAAAGATGAATATTTAACCGTTTCTAGTATAGTCACTACTGTTAAATTATTGCAAAATAATTAAAAATTAAAACTGAACCGCTATAATGACTATACCATTAAAGAAAAAAATGATTAGTGTGAAAAGGAGGGGGCGAGGGGATTAAGCAGTGCCACCACGTACCACAACAATGATCAAGTGGTCTTCTTTGATGGCTTCTTCTGAAAGATTAGGACATGTGCGCTTAAGGAGTTCAGTGGAAAATGGACAAGGAGGAAATGAATAGAGGACACCAGTAGCTTCAGTCTCCTTGTTAAGCAAAGAAATAACTCCAGCTGCTTCCTTTTGCTTTAAATATGAAACTAAATTCCTTAAAGGTCTGGTCTGAACTGTAGTATCATCATTTGTAACAGACGCCGTGGATCCTGCAAGACCCAAAAATATAGCGTGAGAGCTGGCTCCCGAAATTCTCCTTTGAACGTCTTCGAGTTTTGGTTGATCCAACCGAAGTCTTTGTGTAATCCTAAGCTGATGTTTACCATCTTCATCTTTCATTAAGCCGTCTACAATGTCTGTATCGCCATCGATCAAATGGAACTTGGCCGGGAATAGTGAATTTTTCAAAATTAGGGCTCCCTGCCACACTGTCGTACATTTTCTGGCTACTTCTGGAAGAGTACGACTCGATGCGAGCAATCCTGCTCTGCGAGAACCGTTGTCGGAATCTGAATCAGGAGAACGTCTTGGTGAACGGGACCTTGACCGATCGGCTCCCCGAGAACCCGATCGTCGACGTTCGTATTCTGGACCTCTTGACCTTCCCCATTCATCTTCCGCTCCCTCGGGGTATCGGTATGGTCCTCTACTTCCAGCTCTACGTTCTGGGTACGCCACTCGTCCTCTGTAACTACGTGCATAATCATCGTAATCATACTCGTAATCAATTCGTCTGTAATCAATAGCATCTTCATGTCCCGGGTATGGAGGTTTAGGGCGGTACGTGACACCTGGGGTAACGTCCGCAAAATCTGTTCTTAGACGACGGTCTGGACCTCCCAGGGGTGCACCCCTCATTTCTTTTACAGCAGCTTGAGCTGCGTCTATACTGTCATATAAAATGTAGGCTTGGTTGTCTCCTTTTACATAGTCAATTTTTTTAATAGCCCCAAATCTGTCAAATTCTCGTTCTAGTTGTGGCACGGAAGTCCATGGACCTAAACCCCCTACCCAAATACGAGTAGTAGGTGTGGCTTTACCATATCCAATTTTACATTGGAACTTTCCAATGTACTGGCCAGACAATTCGACTTTGGCACGATGGGCCATGTCAAGTGTGTGAAAACGCACAAACGCAAATGCATTTCCGGTTCCCGGAGGTGGGCGTTTAATATCAATATCCTCCACAACTCCATAGCGTCCAAAAATTCGTCGTAGTTCTTCCTCTGTAATATTAATTTCTAGATTACCAGCAAACAAAGTCCTTGTAGCTAGGGGGTCATCCTCTGGTTGGATATGATGTAAGTAATTGGGAAACTTGTCTTTCTTGTTTTCTGTTTTTTCAAATGGTGGTCTTGGAACTGAATGTCTTGGGGGTCCATACCCGTGAGTTGGAGGGATATGTGGAGGGCCATGATGTATCGGCGGACGTGCTAAATACTCATGATGTGGCGCTGGCAGAGCTTCACGTCTGTATTCGCGGTGTACTGGTACACCTGGAGGGGGTCCATAAGCCCGATCGTACCGATCCACAGCTCGAAGTCTCTCTGGAGATCTCGCATAATAATGTCTATCATATTCAGGCGTGATCGACCGAGGACGACTGCGGTATATATCACTGGAGCGGGGCACTTCGTACACAGCCTCCACAAGAGCCACCTTATCGTATATAATAATACGAGGTTTGCCATGCTTGGCGTCTCGTGCGTCTTCGGGGTTTCGGAAGCAAACATATGCGACACGTTCGTCCAAGTCATGGGACAACCTTATGCTCAGATCCCCGTATTTCTTATACTCTCTGTACAGAGTGTCTTTGATCACTTCGTCGCTAGCTTTAGGATGTAAAGCACTGACACACAGAACTTTATAGGGGTAGGCCCGCTCTGGGGGCCGCAAGTACTCGTCTCTGTGCGGCGAGACGTAGCGCGGTCGGGGGCTCGGGCTTCGGGCTCGGCTCCCGCGGCGTCTCACGCGTTCCGGGGTTATGCGTTCGTCGGAACTGTCGTCATAACGTCCCATGCTCGAACGGGATCTCTTACTGCGTGGAGGAGTGTCTCTGTCACTGCTTCTTTTCATATTTTGTATTCTTACTGTTATTTTGTCTCTTCCGGAGCCGATCATACGCACCACACGCACCAATTAACGGACAACACAATGGATGACACGGCACTCCTTCGCCTAAAAACACAAGATACACACTTAATAACAAAACATTACACACTAAACTATGCATATTCAGAGAGATAAACAAACAAACATACTTTTAAAAACCACACAGCACTGCAAAATACCACCATTTACGGTTTATACCATAAAATTCACGTCAATACCAGTCCTTTCAAAACAAAATGGAAGCAAAGAAAAAGGAGCGGCGCAAGATGGCGACGCGAAAAGTAGAAAGCTATACGCTGATATGTCAACATAACGTTTGCACTGCGCTTGCTCACTTTGTGTCACTAATGCAATAGCAAACTAAATAATAATAAATTAATAGTGTTCAAGAAAAATCATACATAGAATCTTTGTCTATTTGACGTAGATAAAGTGCAAAATCTGGCCGTTCCATTTATTTATAATCATATTTTCTTTATTAAATTAAGGCCACTGATTAAAGTAGGTTTTATAAGATAACACTATCGTAACCGTATGCGCACAGACGTACGCGTAGGCGCGGGGCATAACGTAAAAGACAGACAGCGCTCGATACTTTTTAAAGTTTATGTTATGTCAAAATTATGTTAAAATCTAGGGACTTTTGAATGCTGTTATTGAATTCCCTTTGACAGTTGGCACTTGGCACTTCACACCTTTGATTATATTATATAAATTATAATCAAAGCTTCACACTGCGAGTTTCTTCTGTACTGCGAGTTGTCAAGTTCGAATATCGTATGAAATTGTAGATTAGATATTTTGATTGACTCAGTTTGAGGTTAGCCGTTTCTATCTTTAGCCGGGAGCACGGTTGTAGAATAGATAGGTTTGTACACTAATGGCTTGGGATGGCGACGCTTTTTTTCGATCCCTATATCCATGGAAAGGACACAGACAGCTAGCGCCTCTACCTTGTCGAGCGGAAATCGTTCTAGTTATTTTAGGGATTTTGGTTTACATTGCTTTATGAACAATACAAAATTTGTAAATGACATTTGATCGGAGTCGATAAATACGATTTCTTTTATTAATTACATCGGTTATAGACAGATGCCTATAGAGTTCTGTGTCCCTAAAACGTCAAAAACCAGGCGACGCGATCGGCAATTGGCGTCGCTGACCAGGGATATGCAAATGTATGCTAGTGTATCAACCTATCTATTCTACAACCGTGGCCGGGAGTTATTCCGTTCTGCGTTTGGGCAGTTTAACAATTCTTACAGAGTTCACTCTGTCCACTGTGAACGTAGATAAGCATAAGCCAGACACAAACCAAAAACGTAAATTATGTTATGCGCTCGTTCTTATGTCTTATGTCCATTGTGAATGGGCAGTTACATACAACGTTCATAAGCATAAGAATTATGTTCGTCCACTGTGAACAGGGGTACACGTTTTCCATCGTTTCAACTTTATGTATTTATGTAAGCTTTATGTACTTGTTATGCCTTATGTCCATTGTGAATGGGCAGTAACAACTATTTAAATAATTCGTAAAATTAAATAAATAATTCAAGTGTTTTTCACTTGTTTTGTGTTTTGTGAGTATTGCAACGCTACTTATTTTATTTGTTAAAAGATTTTTTTAATGCAAAAAATAAACAGTTCTAATCAAACATCACTCTTGACGAATCAGCTGTCAGAAATTAGTTTAAGAAACTACTAAACTACACCTACAATTATTTTTTCTTTATTATTATAATATAGTCTCAGAAAATGATTATTTTTTTATTTTGTTCGTTAATTTTGGTTTTGTAATAAATGTTTGATGTCGGAGTATTTAAGCATTACGTTGCAATTTTTTTGCGTTTATCCATCGTTAGACAAAATATACCAATGTCGTAGTTGACCCGAATAAATGTAAACGGCAATGTCCCGACTGATTGACCTTTCAACGCCCAGCTCAAACCGCTAATGATAGAAATTTGAAATTTGGAGGGAATGTTCATTTTATACTGGAGACATCATTTAAGAACGGATTTCTCGAAATTCATCCCATAAGGGGATGCCTACCGCATGTATAATGTATGCAACTTTTTGGCCGATGACTTAGTGGTGCTTGTTTTCGTCAATTGACCCTTTTCCTGTAAGATCGTAAAACTTCCATAGTGACTTTCCGTGCGCACGCATCTTCAAAACCACGTATCCGGCACTCCGGCAGCAGAGCAAAGGCCTGTGACAACAAACCGCTTTGACAGAATGCAACCAGCTACACATGCGTAATCTATCGCTCATTGGTTAATTTTAACTTGGCGCTCCAAAAATCTGACTTCGCCTGCGCGATGTTGTCTCACTCTGTATCATTGGAATTTATATAATGTCTACTCACTTTGCTTACAGGAAAAGGGTCAATTGTTACATTTTTTTAAATTGTGTGGATTTTGTAAGTAGGCTTTGCCTACGTCAAACGTCAGATAAAATCATATATCTAATACTACTATATTGCTATATATCTAATAGTACTATATTGCTAACTGGCCTCAAAAGAGTCCGAAAACATAACGGCAGAGCAATATATCGGACCTCTCTGTCTCTCTGTGGTACTAAACAGTACTGCGCATACACTCGTACTTGCTTGATTTGTAGTCGATAACGTGATTGGATGCGTTTTGACATTTCGTACTTTCGCTTCTATTTTGTGTACATGCGCACAGACCCTCGGTACTCTTATAGATAGAAAACAACATCTTCTGTCTCTCTCTGTCCGTGAACACCGTTTCCATGTTACTTCACGGACAAAAAGAGACGGAAGATATTGTTTTCTGTCTATAAGAGTACCGAGGGTCTGTGCGTATGTACACAAATTAGAAGGGACAGTACGAAATGTCAAAACGCATCCAATCACGCTATCCCATGGAGGAAAGAATTATACAGGAGGGAGTACGGCCTATCTTTTGCGTACAAATATTCAGAACCTTTGCAAGCACTCTTTATGACCCCAAACCAATCATGAGCGATGTCCAGCGCATGAGCACTTCAACTGTCAAACGACAACAGGTTGTCCAGTGGCGTCTTTACTAGCTTAGTTATTTTCTGTCTAGTTCTCTAGTCTATCATTACGAGTTTTTTGGCTTATACGTTTTTATTGCAGATTTGTTTGTTTGTATTAATTTAAGCTTCTTTTAGTGTAGTTAGTTTAGTTTAGGGTAGCGAATTTATTATTATTTTACTATTTCATGATCCCTGCGAAAATTAACCAAGTTACGCCACTGATTATATCGGCCATATTGAAAAACCTTTTTTTGCTTTCACCAGTTGTGGCGCGCAATCACTTATTCAAGCAAGCACGAGTGTATGCGCAGTACTGTTTGGTACCACAGAGAGACAGAGAGGTCTGATATATTGCTCTGCCTTTGTGTTTTCGGATTCTTTTGAGGCCAGTTAGCAATATAGTAGTATTAGATATATGGTTTCAATAGAAATGGCAAGGGGAATATGTATTTAAAGTTTGTCCAGAATTATAAGAATTTTATGGACTCCCAACGTTAATCCGTTTTACAGCCCAGGCGTCAATTCTATTGTACAGATAAAGAGCCTGTCAGGGGAAAGCCGATGTTTTCTGTACCTGAGTTCGCCCCGCTCTTCAGGTGTACAATACAATTGACGCCTGGGCTGTAAAACGGATTAACGTTGGGAGTCCATAAAATTCTTATAATTCTGGACAAACTTTACATACAGTTTCGGCCAGAAAATCTTGGGCAGTTCCATCAAAGCAGGGTTTACGTACTTATAACCTCAAATTTGCCACGTTTGTCATTTTGACGTAGACTGGAATGTGGATGATGACGTACGTCAAAATGTATATTTTAACAGTGTCAATCATTTTGACAATAAGGCATAGACTACATCGTGTTTTTTTTTAAACGACAGAAAAATACTGCCCAAGATTTTCTGGCCGAAACTGTAACAAAAATATTTATATTTATTAATGCTAATGTTACGTAAAAAATAAGAAGAATTCCGATTTCAACCATAAATTGTAGGCTAATAAGTATACGCACGGTGATACTTTTTGTATAATAAGGGTTTAGGTTTTTACCACAGGTTTTTACGTTTGATATGGATCGGGAGAAGTATACGCACTACGCAGTACGTAAACGAGATTATAAACATAGCTTAACATTAGAGGACATAAAATACCATCTAGTGATTTTGATTTTAGTATTATGCTTTGGTTTCTCGCCAAATGTCAAAACCTAACCTAATCCTAATTTATAATTTTAAATAACCCCACATTTTAAAACGAAATGTCGGCATTGAAAAGAGTTCAAGTATTGTTTAATATACATTTAATGCATTTTAAAATAAACTTTGTTTTATTCTTTTAGCAATGGGCTACATTTGCACGTATTTGGCATGTGTATGATGCAGCTTGGCAAAATCCGTTTCATTCAGCAAAGTTGTTAAAAAAATATTTAATGGGATTACACAAGCCCATCTACCATCCTTTAAGTAAGTACGAACTCATTTTTATGAGTGTTTACAAAAAAACAACCATTATTAAAAATTACAGATGATTGTGGAGATCATGTAATTGTTATTAATACTGGAGATATTGCGCTACCAGAAGATGAGTGGAAAAAAAGGGCATATTTTCATCACACTGGTTATCCTGGAGGTGCAAGTTGGACAGTGGCATGGGAACTTCATGATAAAGATCCCACCATGGTAAATTCATAGTCAATCTATCCGTGGTGGAAAAAGCAATATTAATTTGTAGATCCTCAAGAAAGCTGTTTATAGCAGCATGGATGGCAATTTGCAAAGGCGGTATACAATGGAAAGATTACATCTTTTTCCTGATGGCAAAGTGCCAGCAGATTTAATGAAAAATGTCTCAAATCAAATACAGCAGATTAGGCCAGTTCCTAAACGTTTAGACCATTATAGTGAGCAAGAAAGAAAAGAATTCCCAAAACTAATAGACTATCCCAAAGATTATATTTTACGATAAATCATCTCGTTAACAGTAGGAATTTATGTAAATATAAAAGCCATTGTATTAAAATATATTAATAAAAATGTTTCATGTATAATATTTAACTAGTCAAATGCAAGTCTTTAGAAACCGTATAAGCAACCACATGCATCATGTATTGCTTATTTTTCTCAAAATTATCAACCGCTTTGGCTCTAGAGTCTTCCCAAGCATACAAATCTCTGTACAGAGGACGAACAAACTTCATTCTTCCAACTTCATTAACCCAATCAAGAGCAGGATCAACACTTTTGGGCCAATGCGATTTCAGTCCAATTCTTAGCCACCTAAACTTGATTTCAGAATTTTTGACGTCACTGAAATGAAAAACTTTATCAAGTTTTTCCAATTTTGTAACACTTTGAGGTTTATCATCTAGTATTTGTTGTAGCAGATAAATAATTTCATCAGCTGTAAGATTTTTAACTTGGCTCGACTCCACAGGGCATGCGGCTTTTTCATCCCAGTCCAAAATTTGTTTATTCAGTTTGTTACACTTTTCAGCCAATGTTGTATTATAGTTTGGTATGACAGGAGGCATGCCTGGACTGTAAAGCCACACATTCCAGTCAACGGATTGTATGGCAGAATTATTTGAAAAATGATTTTCAAAAAACGATTTAAAATCATCCGTATCAATTGATTTGAATTTAAAAGTGTCAAAATATTTTCTTAAAAATGGTTCAAACTGGGCTAAAATTTACAAACATTAATATTTTTTTTACAAAATAAATTTATTATTACCAGGTCCACCAACTACTTCTTCTAAGTAACGCAAAAACGTTTGTCCTTTTTCATAGGGGACGATAGAAAATGCATCATCAGGATGTACTCCTTTTAAGTCCACCACCAATTTTGTAAGAGGATTTGTTTCACCCAATAGCTTTACCTATAAAAATAATTTATTATGTATTTTTCTCATTAACACATTTTTCGTACCGTCTCCTTTAACTCAGGAAGTCTACCAAGAGCATCAAAATCTTGTTGTAGAGGTGAAGACAGTTTGCCTTTAATTTTTCTTTCAACAAAAACTGTGAAACCTTCATTAAGCCAAAAGTGTTCAAAGTTGCGATTGGTGATTAAATTTCCAGTCCAACTGTGTGCTATTTCGTGCGCAACAACATTAGCTAAGGAGCGATCACCAGCTAATAATGTAGGTGTTACAAATGTCAGGCATGGATTTTCCATGCCTCCATAGGCAAAACTTGGCGGTAGTACAAGTAAATCGTATATCCCCCATACATAAGGGCCACAGATTTCTTCCGCCGTTTTAAGCTGATGTTCAGTTTCAGCAAATTCATAGGCACATGCTCCAATTATTTCTTTTTCAGCCCAAACATGAGATCTAGGTCCTATTTTTTTGGACTCTAAAGCACCAACAGCTATGGCAATAAGGTATGAAGGAACAGGAACATCTTGAATAAAATAAGATTGTTTCTGATTGCCTTCTGTTACTGTAGACTTTAGGATGGCTGACATCAAAACAGTTAGTTCACTTGAGGCTGTAATCTATTACATGTATGATAAGAATCAATTAGTTTTATCTATTCAAATTAATGTTGTAATGAAAAATGTATCACTAAGTAAATGTTTTTTTAATGGATACATAGATGTATAGATAACAGAATCTGATACTTACTGTTGCTGAGTACTTTGTTTTTACTGAAGGGGTGTCTTGGCAAGGTATTACAGATCTAGCATGGATTGCCTTAAACACAATATTGTTAGATACATTTAAAGTGAAATTTGTGTATGAATATACCTGGAATTGACTAAATAAGTAGGGATGCTGTTTTCCCGCAGTCTGACTTGGGGTTAACCATTGCAAACCACTTGCATTTGGATTATTTTCATAATAAATTGACAGTGTAAAACTAAAATGATTATATTATTTAAAAAAGGCATACTTAAAAATGTATCTTCACTACTTATCGGCTTCTTGTGCTGGTAATTCGATGGACATTTTTGATCCAAATTCTTCAATGGTATCTGAGATAACATGTTTTAGTTCTTTTTTGGTGTAATGATCAATGACTTTTGATACAGTTAAATTCTTGGCATCTAAAATCTGTTAACAAAACAGTAAAATTTGTAACATTAATAAGTACATCATATGACAATACCAGTTCTGTCGCATTCTTATTAATCCTTTTCACATCCAGTACAACATGACCATGCAGAATTTTTTTGTTGAAATCAACATTCAAATTAATGCCTATATTTGTTACCACTACATCCTCTGTAAATAAAATGTATTAATTTTAATCTTGGTTTTCAAGAAAAATAAAAAGACAATCAAATAGGTCTGTATTTAAAAAAATATAAACTTATTTGTGTATTCTGTTCTATTACACGAACTGTATATTGCTATAACATTGTAATAATTCCACAATATTAAATCCTCTGCTCAATAACAATGTGTACAAATACAAAACACAGTTATCATGCATTTGAAAGTATAAAGATTTACCTGGTCTTGAATAAGAACTAGGATCTCTTGGACTTAAACCTTCGGCTCCCATGCTATCAATAAAATGACCCAACGTTGCGTCTGCAAGAACTAATAATAATCAACACGTAAGGGGGAGGTTAGGGTTAAACCACGGATTAAACTACTATAAAATTGGGAAAGTGACACGTAGGCACTTGACCGACTGTACAGTTCAACTACACTTATTAGGATAAAGCTGTCGAGCAAAGGTGTTATGTTATCAAGATTACAGCGGCAGCTCAGTTGCACTGGTGGGAGTTTACGATCCTGCTGATCCTGCTTGTACTTGTCTACCTAGTTATATCTTTTTTTTTTTAATTTGCTTATCTTCTAATTGTCTTATCTCACAGAATAAACTGTTATTCTTTTAATTTATGGTTTACAACATATGCCAGTGACGAAAATAATACTCATGTTTTTTTTTATCAGTAAACGGGATTTAGTTCAGTTTTTGTCAATTTTTAATTTCCGAGCGTAAGCTAGGGCTTCATGATCTCTAGAGCATGAGAAAATAGGTCTCTCTTTTCCGTCTGTCTGTCGTCTGTCTGTCGTCTGTCTGTGTTGGTAGACAATCTGCGAAACTGTTGCACCAAATTATTGTGTCATTAATAAATTAATAATAAACACTCTGTATTCAGGATTCTGGTCTGGCTCTTTTATTATCATCAGTTCGGTGTTTATTTCGATTAGTGGGTTGTACCGAGAATATTGATGCAGCTGCAATGGACTTAGCTTAAAGAATCCTTGAAAACCATATTCCTCAGGGATATGCTCTAACTGACCACTATCAAGTCACACAAACTCGCAGGAATCTACCAAAGTGTACCAATCGCCAATCGACGGGTCTACAATAATTACACTAGTTTACAAATTTAAACTTTTTTTCGTATCCAAAAATAAAAAAAATATTTTTTACTTCTAAATTACTTACTGATAACAAATCCAAAAACGGATAATCCTTATCACGTCAGGTTTTTTCATAAATCCAAAATAATGAACTTTGCTTTACCTTCACGTTTGTGTTAAACTGATTCATGTTAATGCACAATTGTCGCATAAAAAATGTCTTCGAGATCGTGGAAAGTAAGTGCAAATCAGTTTTGTTACATTTGTGGTAAAATTATAGTACCTAAAGCGGGAAGACCTGTTCAAATATACTTAAAATGAAGGTATAAAGGTTTTTGGGACGAAAATGTGTTACTGTTGGTCTATTATAAGGGAAACTGACAGTACTGCCAATAAAAGAACATCAGTGTTAACCATTTTTAATTTTCAGCCATAATGTTTATAATATATACTGGGTGTTGCTTTTATTTGATACAACCCCTGTAACTTCTTTATTCTTATAGATAAACCTGTATTTCTTTGAGCTAATTTGTATCATTTTAAAAGATCTTTGTGAGGTCAACCTCACATTTTTATTATCACTTCCCGTAGATAAGTCAAAAGCAACCAATTATTCTAAAATCAATACTTGAAAAATTTTAAATAACACATTGATGACAATCTAGTAGCTTGAAAAATTGACACTCATGTTATTTATTTACCTAAATGGTCTTTTAAAATGATACAAATTTGCTTAAAGAACTATATGTTCATATATATTTAAAAATAAAAAAGTTATAAGAGTTGTATAAAAGAAAAAAAATCCGGGGTATGTTTATATAAATATCTCAAAAACCTGACGTGATGGATTTTTTCTGCTTTCAGATTTGAATTTCCCGAACCCAAATCCTTTAGATTCAACTATTTTTGTCTTCGGATATAAAACCTTGTAAACTAGTGTTATCAGTTATCAAATTGTGGTGACCAAATTTAAATCAAAATTTTCGCGCTGGAATTAATTAACAGCGGCGCGAAATCACATTTGAATAATTTGAATTTGAAAGAAAAAAAATTCAATCACAAAAAAAAGTAAACGGTAAACATAGGCAACCAAATATGCACATTGGGGTTAATGCATGTAGGGGTTAGTTCTGCATGTTTAGTTAGAGGGCGGCTTGGTAGAGACAGAGGGCGGCATGGCGGAGAGTCAGTCTGAATATTTTTTGTGAATGTAAACACGTGGTAGGAGCTAGGTTTAAATTAGCTGGTTTAGTAGTTAATAAAAGGGAGCCTTTGTTTAACGACAACCAATCGTAACCGACGTCGCTCAGTTTTCCTCAACCCGCGCGGGTAATTTTTGCGGCCTTTTAATCGAAAAAGTGCGGACTTCTGTTCAACGCGAAACACGTGCTGTAAATTTGTTTTATTGTTTGTAAATTCACCAATCAAGTTGGTTTTTCTTAATCGTCAGCTAGTGCTAAAACAATTTAACAATCAGGATTATTTAAATAAATCACTTGCTAGAAGATTTCAGGAAATTCACTTAGTCAGGAAAACACTTTTGTTGTTTAATTACGAATAGGTTTCTGGATGCATATACGTAAGTGTTACATTATAACACTTCTTAATTCTTCACACAAGATTGCTAATAGTTCATTTACGGCAGTTAAACAAAGTTCATTATACTGCGAACTGGCGGGGGGTTAAAATAATTTCTTCCCTTAGGCGGTTATCATCGTTATCATGACTACATCACTGAGGCATGCCCTCGCAACGCTAAAGATTGATTACATCATCGAGGCATGCCTTCACAAAGCTACAGATTGATTACTTCATCGAGGCATGTCTTCGCAACGCTACAGATTGATAACACCAATGAGGCTTATTCCTCGCAACGCTAAAAAAATACATCATCGAGGTATTCTCTCGCAACAATAAAGTTATATCACCGAGACGCTTTTTCCTCGCAACGATGATTGGATATTTTTGTGTCTGTTTATTAAGTGTTTTGTTGGGGTAACCAGTTCGCGGTATTCTAAACTCTCAAAGTATTTTTTTTAAGTAACCAATCACTTAGATTATGACATAAATTAACATAATGTATGCTCTTTGTTTGAATCGTTGATAAAGTGTAGCAAATATTAATCACATGTAAATTTTGTTAACTTTGCAAATTTTCACCTCATACAGTACTTCTCTAATCTCATAATTTTAACCTCAGTAATTTTCCTTTGTTGTATAATTTTCATTGAACGTAAATTTCATTCATTGCAGTTTTAACCTCACATAATATTTTTATTTGCACAAGTTTATTTCACACCAAATCTTTTGTTTTATAAATCTTTGCTAGTTTTCGTTTTGTAAATATTTTGTTGATGAATGTTTCTATCATATAAATTATTTGGTGTCCAATTTTAATCTCAAATAAGACTTATTTGTTTAAAATTTCACAAGATTGTATGGCGAATTTAAATGTTGTTTATTGCTCGTTGAAACTTTAACATTTGTTCAGTTGTTGTTAATATCAGAGTTATAAGAGATTGAAATTTGACAACAATCGGTCCAATAGTTTCGGAAATGATCTGTCTAATAAAAATCCGAACAGACGACAGACAGACAGACAGGCCTATTTTTTCGTACTCTAGGGGTCATGAAATGTCGAGAAAACGTAAAAGTAGCTAGTTGTCCAATGGACTCGATTACAATACTTCCATAGTTTACGCTTGTTAACTATATTTTCCGATAATGAGTCGACTGAGAAATTTTAACAAAAATAAAAAAAAATGTTTGCCTGAAATTTCAGAACGTGTTCACTGACCACTTATTTTTCGTGATTAAATAACACTTTACAATAAATGTTGAACTTCTTATTTTTTAAGAAAAGATAAAAAAAACCTGACATGATGGAAACAAAATTAAAATGGTTTAGGAATTTTGTATAAACAAATACATCAAGTACACGGATCAGAGTGGAAAACACAATTTCTTTGTACACTAGTGTAATCCAGGACATAAAATAAGCAGAAAAAAGTACCACTGACCAGAATCTATTAAGTGAAAAAATGGTCGATTGCACTGAACTTTTTAATAATACTCAAACTAATAACTAGTATTTTTAAATAGTTTTTAAAATGACATTTTAAATTTCACGATCGGTCAAACTATAATGAAATGTACAGTGGCGGTCATTTCTACGGAACCACTCGATAAAAAGTCAGGTTGGTAGCCCTGTCATCTAGTACTTTACGCCGAACGAGGTTGGTAGCGGTAGTTGACATGGCAATCAAAACTAGCACAACACGAATGTTTCGGTTGCCCTCAGTTATGCCGCACTATATCCCGTACAGATTGTATGTTCTGTTCATCTATTTATTAAAATAAAATATCTACATTGACAATGGGGCCATCTAACCTGTCAAATTTTTGACACATATGTTTTCCACCAGAAACCCGTCAAGGTCACTTACACCAAACAAATTTTGAAAATTTACACTAGGGAGTGGTTCTATAGAAAAGATCGCGACTTTATAAGTTTAGATCTTGCATAATTTTAACATCTTATTAGTTAATAATATGTATTAAGACAAAATTTGGTGCAACTATTGTAAATTTTTAAACAATAAATAATCCTCGAAATGTTAAAAAGATCACTGGTCGAGCTTTACAAGTTTTTGTCAAGTTTGCCTCCTGAGCGTAATCGAGTCCATCGGGCGACTTGCTACTTTCATGTTTTCTCAAAGTGCCACCCACAATCCCTAGAGTACGAAAAAAATAGGTCTCCGGTTTCCGTTTGTCTGTCTGTCTGTGTGTCTGTCTGTTTGTCGTCTGTGTCAATTTTTATTAGACAGATAATCTCCAGACCGTTTGCTGTCAAATTTTATATGAATATTAGGAATAAGATGTAGATGGTAACTAAAATACGTCTAATCATCTCCACCAACAATGCGATGACATCATCTCCAAAATTGCAATATTAATTTTTGTTTAAATTTTCCTTTCCGCTCCTCTATTTGTAGTGTATGAATCCGTGTAGAGTTTTTAGACTGGATATGCAGAGTTTTGTGGATAAAAATTTTATAATTTATCTCTGTGTAAAACTTATGTACTCGTAGGTACTTAATTATGTTGTTGTTGAAATCTGAAATAGTAATTTACGCAACTAGTTCGGGATAGCCTGCTTCCCGCATGAACGCTTGTTTGCGGCACGACCGAAGGGAGTGCCGCATTTGCGTGAATGCGGGAAGCAGGCTCACGAACGTGTTGTGTACAATATTTTTTGCGACGAATAAACCTTTAAACTGAAGAGATTAACTGTGAGTTATTTATAAACAACGCCATTGACAGCGCCGTCAACACGTCACAATGTTGACACTACCCGAGTATTTTAAGGTTACCATGGCAACGGGAAATTAAATGCACGTGTGCGGGAAGTTCGACGTCCCGCACTC